GGGGGGGGGGAATTGTGTCACCAGTTCCAAGAGCGGTAAAATGTGACGAAATTCATTCAGCAGAGTCACAATTTGGGGTTTACGATGCGCCGCTAAGTGTTCAACCACGGTTATTACCTTTTTTATACTCAAAAGTTACGCTTGTAATCGTTGGCAGGTTGGAAATTTTTTTAGTTGCCAATTATGTTTTGGTGTGGGTATTCTGTATTATCTATTGAATCTTTTGTTTTTAAGTCTTTTGTGATCCCAAGACCTAAAAATTCCCTTTTGTTTGTTCGTTAGGCCGATGTGGCTAAGATGCGCGCCGGCTATCATGAGAGCCAAACCCAGAGAGAAACCTTCGATGCTGAAGCCAAGCGATATAAGGTACTGTTAATAACAATGATTCCAAGCAAACTTCCTTTTCGGTTTATTAAAATTTTTTGGAATTTTAAAAGCTGAAATTGTTATTTTTGTTTCGTTTTCAGGATTTGTACGAAATTGAGTTGAAGTCTAAAGATAAGCTGGCCAATCGTTTGTACAAAGCAAACGAGAAGATGGCGGAGTCCCAAGCGTTGCTCAAGTAAGTGGCGTGAAAACTCCATAGAAAAGCATCTGTTTTGTGTGTTTGTTTTGCAATGCAGCTTTAATTAAAAGCCACTGCCAAGAAAGCAGTCCAAAACTGGTGTACATGTAGATGGAAAGCGTTGGTGTCGGACGTTATATGTTCCGCAAGGAACTAAGAAGAATTCAAAGCAAAAGACGGCAGCACTTTCCGATTCTAAGTGCACGTTTTAAAATAACAGCGACGATAGCTGAGAAAGCGAGTGGTTTATTTAAATTGATTTCGCCGTGACTTGAGATTTTTTCGGACAATGATATCCGGTCGGCAAATTGATTTTGTTGGAAGTCGAGAGTGGTTCTGGCGTGACTCGGAATCTATGTCGTGACTAATATTGATTTGACGTGACTCAAATTGCTTTTGTCGTGACGAAAAGGATTGACAGTAAAAAAAATTGGTTTGCAGCTTGTAAAACAAGCTTTATGATTGCTAGTAAGTGAATAATCTATCAAGCGAAGTAGTAATTTGATATAATATGTTGTTCGTTCACAGTCTTGAGAGGTCACGGAGAAATTTCGACGGCTTGCAGCGTGACACGTCTCCTCATTCAGATGCGCTTGCTGGACTATTAAATGGTTCACCTGCAACAAGTCCAGATCGAATGTACTCCAAGGTAAAGTTCGTGACAATTATATGAAATGAAATAAGCTCAGCATTGTTGGTTTTGAACTCTCCGTTTTATATTTGACCAATCAAATGCCGGGAAACGGGGATGTTAAAGAAGTCCAGATCGAATGCACTCCAAGGTAAAGTTCGCGACAATTATATAAATTGAAATAAGCTCAACATTGTTGGTTTTGAACTCTCCTTTTATATTTGACCAATCAAATGCCGGGAAACGGGGATATTAAAGAAGTAGTGTCAAAGAATGTTTGCCATACGCGGTTATTTGCTGTGTGATTGTTCGAGAGATTTGAAAAAAAAAAGGCAGATTTCACGAAAAATGTCACAATCAATCATTGACAACTGTAACGTCTTTGTTGCCCAAACCCGTTCTGATTTTCGTACTCGAATTATAGATTCTCTTTACTGACTGCCTTACATTTCTCTCGAAGTTTCTATGGAGAATTTAGATGCACATCCATACAATATGTTTTCGGATTTCGCACTTCCATGAATTGGTCCTCAATTAAACCG